AGCTCCATGTTGTATGTCGGTGGCACAGCGGTAGGATGCTAGCCGACGACGTAGGTGGTCCGCGGTTCGATCCCCGGCCGAAGCACTGGTAAAGAGGGAAGGTTGGGCATGAAGCTAGCAACCCCATCCTGTAACAATATTCATCACTGCTACTGAGACTTCAAGCTTGTAGCTTAAAGCCCTATGTTCCACTGACATTTAGAAGTTGTCTTATCAAAGCCAGTCAGTGACAAGAACTATTTTAGGGATATTATACTACTGAAATTAATTTTAATTTAGATTGCATTGAGATTTTAGTGAAAGGCGGCTATACATCTGAAAACTAAAAAAATGTAAACCAGTTAATAACGATAATAATACTTGATAAATTTAACTGGAATTCTAGTAAGAAGTTGTGACCAATGGGGTCCACCAGGTCGGGTATGTGGGGAAATACTCACTGACTACATTGTTTGGTGGTCGCGCTAAAATCACGAATAGACTGAATAAAAGCTGACGTCATGTACTGTGATAATGTGCATCTCTTTGTGTATGTCAAACAGGATGAAATCAAAGTAATGTCATAATCTTCAGAAACACAAATAGTACCTTCACCAATTACTGCCTTTGTTGTCTTGATACTAAAGATCAGATGGTCAACCGGAAAGAATAAGCAACAAGGGATTCTGGAAGCTAGTGGACCTGCCAACAACCTGTTGTTCAATAAATATGCAGAAAGAAATGAAAATGAGTTGGACATACATTGAAGAGACTTTCAAGAGGCACAACATGTTAAGCCCTCAAATGGTTTCCCACTGGGAAGCCGCGGTTTGGACTTCCTATGATGACATGGAAGAGATCATGTGAAGAGGAATTAAAAGTTTGTGGGTAGTCGTGTAACCAGTTGAGTATGACTGCAGGGAACTAAGTGCAATGGAGATGTACCTCTGAAGAAATGAACGTTAATTATAATAATAATGAGGTAATGTCGAAGCAGAAATTAGAATTTTCTGGTATCTCGAAGAGTGTTTGCTAGGAGTTTTATTTAAGACTTCAAACCCTCGCTTGCAACATCAAGTTCGTCAATTTGAAGCAGAACAAAGCATATGCTTAATTATCACCCAAAACACTTTACACATTTCGTACCTCTCTTTTTACTCCACTATGCTTTCATCTTAATACTGCCCATCGTGTTAACATGTACTACTGGTGAAGATTTCACATACGTTATTGTAGATACCCTTCCCTAGTTCATTAACGATATCTGGTTAAAATGATATGAGGATAAGAGTTGTTTTCATCCCAAAAATCCTAATAGCATCAGTGTTTCTCTAACAAACTCTAAGTGTTTCGTGTTCAGATCATAACACTTTCCTGTGCTATTAAATATTAACGTGAGTAGAAATCATTGATGAGGTGAATGCCCACTAGATTTCGTCTCACTTTTCTGTCTCATAATTTATTCTGACGCCGGTTACCAATAAAGTTGTTTTCTGCTCTTTTACTAACTGTCCAAGATCCTTAAGAATTTTAATTTTACTAATTACTGATGTATCCTTTTGTTAATTTATCCAGTTTTCCAATTGTCACCACATTACAACTGCAACAGAATGATCCAGAATTAGAAGCTGATAAAAAATTCATAATGAGGTTAGTCAGCTATCTTGTACACTAATTTCTTCCATGTGATTGTTATATCTAGAGTCACTGGATTTTTACTGTCCCACATGATGTTAATAAACACAAGAATTTCCTTTTGATTTGTCATGAAATATACGAGTCTGAATTTTGCGTAATTCTTGCGTATTTCGTTTATCGAATTATGCATATGTTGAGGAGGCTATTGAATGACATCGTGCGCCAGCCCATGGCTTGTGTGGAGTCCCAATGTGAAGAGACGAGTGGGCCGTCCGAGGGTGACATGGAGGAGATCGTGTGAGAAGGAGATGAGAGATTATGGGTAATCGTGGACCCAGCTGAAGAGGACAGCAGGAAATAGAGCAAAGTGGAGATGTGTTGCTGAACCAACGGGAATAATAATATGATGTAATAATTATCATTTAGTTTATAAATGTTGTTTGAATTAAAAATCACTATATTACCAGACCTTGGGCGTCCGTAGTTCAGCGATAGAACGTTCATCAACGACGCCTCATGTGGTTCGGGATTCGATCCCCGACCGACGCACTCCTTTACCTCGTTCAGCCAATAGTAAGGATGGTAAAGAGGGAAGGTTGGGCTTGAGACTAGCGACCCTACCCCAAAAAAATGAGACATCTACCACTGAAATTTCAAAGCTCCAGTTTGAATCCCTACTTTCCTCTCGGAACGTACAGGAATAAAAAAATATTTCCAGACTCCATTGGGGAAAAGTTCAAGAGCCGAAAAGATTACCGATAAGTAATATTCATGTTTACAGAAATGATTACAGAAGTTGGAAGACCCTGAACCATGAATTGGGCAAATTAATACTCTTCAAGTTACTGGAATGAGACTAAAACAAGTGAGATAGAGTAGTTGTCATTTGACTTTAATAGTTCATTAGCAGCTAGAACTAACAACTCGGATAAAAGAATACTGAACTGAAACTGAGGAGTTGGTTAATTGGAACTCACCTTCTGTGTTAATTGATTACTCACCTAATTCATAAACTCTGCATATAAAATGTGAATTACTAAAGCGACGATAGTAATTAATCTAACTAATATTTGATTGAACGACCTAACATGAAATGTTGCTTACTCCTATGAAATAATACAACGAAAATTTTCAAGCTTTCTGAGGTAATTAAGGATTTTACGACAAGCATCTAATGTACGATTACTTTCATTATTCTACGTTATGGCCTAGAAAGGTATACAAAAATAATTCAAGAATTCGCTTATTGTTGTTCATTTGAATCTATTATCCGTTCTGAAATATACCTAAAAAGTGTATAAAATCGTTTATTCAAAACTAACTGTTTTTTGAATGGGTAAAATGACTAGTAGAGAGTTACTTTGAAGGAGGTTTTAAGGAAATACTGTTTACAGAAAAGTAGTAAATAAATGTATCAAGCTTAAAACTCATTTGACAAGTTTATGGTGCACTGCTGACTTCAATTTAATCTTCACTAACTAACCAACGTTACCTGAAGAACAAGGGGGAAATGAGGAAGCTGATTATTTGATTTATCTTATTCTGTAACCAAATATTTCCCTTAGGAACCTTTCTAAATGAAAACATACATAATGTATTTAATTTCGACAATCTTCATGATAAATTTCACAAAAATACCTTGTAGCCAGATGAATCGGGTTTGAAAAACAGTTTTCAAGTATTGGTTTTTGTAGGGATTTTGTTTGACTGGTTGGAGGATTTCATCATGAGCTGACACCGGTTAGAGAACCATTGGAAAACCAACAGAAAATACTGCACAGCTGTTTCGTCCGTCCTAGTTTGCCACTCCTCATCAGTACGCACCCCTCATCACTGTTTGAACACAGGACCTTCTGGTTGCAAGGTGAGCTCGTAGACCATTAAGCCACTAGAACCTGATCCAATGGCCAGCCCGTGAATTCCGACCTCTGCCAATTCATGACATGGCGCGACCACTTCACAATGTCTTCTTCGATGAATTACTGCCTCATCTTTGACCTGCTGTACCCTACCGGTCACGGTTTGAGGTAATCAGAATCATCCACCGACTACATCTAATATATATTTCCATCCCGTGAGAAGTATATTAAGACGATGTTGAAATATTGTCCTATTATGCGATGAATCACTCTGAGATGAATTTTATTAACCGCTTAAAGTCGGCCTAAGACGTTTTCAGTATGAGCACTAAAGAACTTACTCTAAGGCGGGTGGGGATGTCCAGAGTGAGAGTGTTTTTATTCAGTGGACTGTTAAAAATAAGGGAACACCAGACAGCTGTTTCGTTCTAATTTGGGACTCTTTAGAAGTATACACCCAGGAGTCAAACCAAGAAATCTCGGGTTACTAGGCAAATCACTGGTTCGAAATTCAGTAGTTATAACTCCCATCAGTTGGCGATATAGCGCCACTGTCATGCAATGTCACTAGCGAATATTTTTCATTACGACCCACTTGGGGTATCGTGCTGTTACAGCTCTATCATTTTTAGTAATCTTGTCATGTAGCCGATCATCGCTAATATTCAAATTCTCCTTCGACAGGGATTTCATCAATCTTTTCTTTCACAAGAAACCGGTCGACACTGAAATGTTTTTTTAAAAGTACTTCAGATATCTAACCTACAGAAGAAAAAGTTATACGACAAATCGTAGGAAGAAATATATACATAATATGTGTTTACTCAACTTATTTACTACATGCCTGGATAGGAGTCTTAAATAAAAAATAATCCCTATGATAATCCTGTATGGGACCTTGATTATTTAGCCTACCTATTTGACTGAGAATCTATCTTTCTGATACAGTGTCGTATAAAATTATCACACTCTGTGGATAAGATATATCACATCATGTTTTATAATAAACTACAGACTTTCATCAACAGCTGTCTTCCCTCAATACTACTCAAGATCAGATGGCCAGAAAAGATCAGCAACAGCGATCTCTGAGAAAGAACCGACCAGGAGCCAATCGTGCAACAAACATGCAGGAAGAAATGAAGGTAGACTGGCCATATTCTGAGAAAACAAACCATCAAGTGACATCACACGCCAGGTTCTCTCTCTCTGTCGAGTGGAACCCGAATGGGAAGCGGTAAGTTGGTCGTCAGTGCGAGGGTGGGGTGACATGGAGGAGGTCATGAAAAGAGGAGATGAAAGCGTGTGGGAAGACGTGGAGTTAGGTGAAAACGTTTGCAGAGAAGCGAACGCAACAGAGACGTTCGGCTGAAGCTATATGTTCCTCTAGGAACTAAAGGAAACCATAATAATAATAATAATAATAATAATAATAATGTTTTATAAACTATTTATCGATAAGAACATTTGAATAATAATGAACTTAACTCACACTTTCCTTCACTTCTATTTTTGTTTTTGTAGTCATCCTCTTTATCCCCTGTTGGCTTTATTATTACAACAATGTGAAATAGCTACAGCCAGACCAGATTCACCACCTCCATTGGACACTTTCACTACAGAATTGACTTCATACATTCAACGTCGGATAGAACAACAACAACAACAGCAACAACAACAGGATGAAGAAGTCGGAGAGGGTGATGATTTAAAACCAACTTCATTAAAATTAAGTAATCGCCGTGAAAAAAATAATAAAATCAATGAGAAATTTGGAAGTACAGAAGATTCAGGTAATCGTAATACTGAGACTACATCTGGCATAACAACAGCTGATATTCCAATCACCACAAAAACTACAGTGACTACAAATACATCATCTAATAATGCTAGTCACAAGACAAATTCAACAATACATACACGGAATAACAATGAACGTTTCTCGTCGCATAATAATAAATTGAACAATGAAACATCTTCACAACTTTTAGACAATACTGACATTCCGTTTCATAAATCAGCTGGATGTAATAAAATGAATAGTGATAAAAATAATTCAGATCACTTACCGAATGATACTGATATATCAAAACAAAATTGTACATTTAATGATGAAAGAAAATATGAATTTCTGAGCAACAATTCAGAGTTAGATGAATTGGTAAGTCTTTCATTTGGCTTCAGCATAGAAGCAATGAACTTTTTATTCTTCGTTTTATTTGTTATTTAAATAGAGAGAGAAAAAAAATGCTGACCACATGGTTTGATCCCTGTCAGGCTGAAGAGTCCCAGAATAGGACGAAACAGCCGTCCAGTGGTCCCTAGTTTTCAACAGATATGCTGACACTGTCTTGTTTTATACTGAAAAAAATACCACGAAGAAGGGATTAGATATTAAGTCACATTTCGGTAAGCATTGATGCTTCTATCGAGGAAACAGCCAGTTACCAGTAAAAGTGTAGTAGACGAATTAAAATTCTAACTTATGGAGGATTTTATAGAATTCGGATGGTACATGTTAACAGTGATGTTCATTGAGCATAGTGACACACAATCTTTTCATAATTTGTGTAATCTGTCTGCTTTGTCAGGGAACTTTCTGGAATTTTTTATACTTCTCCATGGTTTTTCCTAACTAATGAGAATTCACAGTTATTGCCAATTCCTTCTAAGCCATTTGAGTTGTAAAACACTGCTTCGACAGTGTTGAAATGTCTAGCTTCATAAGATCCAAAAGTCAGCTGAGTGAGTATACAACCAGTCATAAAGTATTAAATTAAGTTTTATTTCACCTGTAAAGATGAAAGTAAGTTAATAATGCGAACGGTAGGAATCTACTGTCATTGTCATTTCTATTGATCCTTAGGTTTTTTGCGTCGGTGGCACAGGGGCAGAATACTCGCCGATCACGCCTCACATGGTTCGGGGTTCGATCCCCGCCCGGCTCACTCCTTTACCTTGCTAAGCCACTAATAAGACTGGTAAAGAGGGAAGGTTGAGCATTGGGCTAGCAGCCCCGTCCCGTAAAAGTAAACACCACTGCTACTGAAACTTCAAGTCTGTAGCTTGAAGCCCTATGTTCCACTAGGAACGTGAAGGAATAAAAAAAGAAAATAACTGTTAGACTTGGTAATGGTCATCTAATATTAGTTAAGATAGCTGTTTAATCACCAAATAGGAATCAAAATCTACTGATAAGTGGACTTATGTCGCTAATGTACTAGGTGAAATGACAGTATTGTGAATTCAGCTGTTTGTCTGAGTGTTCACTGTTAGAAGTCATTTTAGAGAAAAGCCTTATTTGATCTACACTTCGTGCAGTTTTGGTATTATTAATCAGTAAGGAACATTTGCATACTGTGGTTGATCGATGTCTGTTCATGAAAAAACTGTACTGTGTATACAGGTTCCCAGTGAACTGATGTCAGATTACAGAATAGATGCTTATAAATACACACATTATTGTATCCCTTTGTATAGTTATTAAGTTATAATTTATCTAAAAATCATCAACCAAATTTAATTCAAAATGTCAATGAATAGTGAATAAATCCTTATCAGTAGATAGGAAGCTGCTTTTTTGCTCCCAGCTACAATTTTGAACCTCAGTCACTTAACACCGAAGTCAAAGCGCTCATAGTCTGCATAAATCCACTTATTTACAGAGCTAAAAGATATTTTTTATTTATCAAGAATTGCTGTTATCTGAAAAATCACTAGCGACTGGCTCTATTCAGGTGAGTAGTTACCTGGGGTTCCAGGGGGGAAGTCGTGAACAGTAGGGTGCAGCAGCTCGGGTGTGAAGACAAATACTCGCCACCGAAGACATTAGCTAGTGCCATTTGCACTATGTCGTGAATTGGCAGAAGTTAGAATTCATTGGCTGGCCACTGAATCGGGTTCCAATGGCTTAATGGTCTACGGGATCACCTTGCAACCAGAAGTTCCTGAGTTCGACCCCCTGGCGGTGGATGCGTATTGATGAAGGTTTCCAAATTAGGATGAAAGAGCTGTCCAGCACCCTTTGCAGGTTTTCCAATGGTTCTCTAACTGATGTCAGCTCATGATGAAATCCTGTAACCAATCAGTCAAATCCCTACAAACCAATACTTGAAAACTCGAAGAGTTCTGTATATCTGTTTTATATCTCCCAGGAAGAATAACAGCATTTTGAATATTTTCTAAATGAAAGGCCTATTATATTGATAAACTGACTTCAGGTTCTTTACTGGTGACCAGTATAAGATGAGATGTTTTGAACCTATGATTCATGAAGTATAGATACTGTTAAATCATTAATTTCAGTTGGGTCTGTGAAGTTCTTATTGAGTGCCCTTTCTGAAGAAAACTCTCGTATACTTAAATATATAATTTATAAAGAAGATGTTGGAGACCTTTGGGGTGTAAATGATGAGGTGAAGGTAATCAAAATGAAGTTTGTCCATTCAGTCCAAACAAATGGTGGCGTAATGCGATTTCCGTCGTCATTTATACTTCTGTGTTGAGTGCTGAAATGTGTGCAGAAGCCATTAAATTCAGTCTATTGTGATAAAAATACAAGGTTAAACGTATCCAGTATTAACTAATGTCTTTTGGAAAAAGCAGAATATTTTGATTTCGAGAGATAGTGATGCTTTAAAGTTTGAACTAGAAAAAGAACAATAATTTAAATGTGTGTGCTATCTGGCTCCCATTATGAAACAATGTACTTGTGATTACAATATGTTATTATGTTATTTTCCGCTTGGATTCCGAGTGAAACATAGAGTTTCAGCAGGATATCTATATTTCACTATATTTTCTGTAATATTTTTTCATTTGTCTCCACTTCATGGCCCCTCCATTTCGTCTTCAGACCAGTGCCAAACTCGTCGTATCCAATCCACTTTCCATTCGAGGGCCTGTCTGGAGTGCGATGTCACTCAGCGGTCTCCTCTGTGCATACCCAGTCTATTTCCGTTTCCATCGGGATATTTGCTAGGCAGTAGGTTATTGATTGGTGCATACCCAGAGTTTCTTGTCACCCAATTATTTCTAGCCATGTGGTCTGCAGTATGGAGCGGGCGAATGTAGCTGTTGATAAAAGTCTGCAGTGACCTGTTGGAAATGCTTTTCGTGACGTGTCAAGTGTCTGAACCAAATAGAAGAACTGATTCGTTGTCAATGCTAAAAGTCCAAATTTTTTCTTTATTCCTAGTTCAACGGAATTTCACACTGATTTCAGAGTAGTGAAGGTCTGTCTTGCTTTTCAAATATTGACTGTCTTTGACATCTTCATCCATGCCGCCTGTAGATGGAATGGTGGTGCCCAAATAAGTACAGGAAGTGATTTTTTCCAGATTTATTCCGTTAATAGTGATTGTTGCTTGTTGTTGTTGTTGTTGTTGGTGACTGGGTATCTTTATCATCTCCGTCTTCTCTATGCCCACTTTAAGTCCCGTCTCCGCTGGTTGCTTCTTCTGACAACTTATTCGTTTTTGCATATAAGTCTTCGAGTTTATGTGACACTAGATATAAATCGTCTGTGAAGTTCTGATCCTTTAAAGTCTTCTTATAGGTCCGACATATTCCTGTCTTCTCGCTCCCACGCACAGTCTTCCACGTGATCCGATCTAATACAGTCAGGAATATTATCAGTGATAGCGGACAGCCTTGTCTGACTCCTGTTTTCACTTCAAATGTTTCTCTGAGTTTTCCGTTGTGGATCACTTGATATGTGGCATTGTCATATAGTTGTTGAATGAGGTTGATAAAGATTCGGGGCGCTCCATAATGTGTAAAATGCATAGGTACAGAAATAATGACGATCCAGTATTGACTTACATTATATTATAAAGGCTTCTTTTTGAAGAATGATAGTATGAGTGTTATATGACAATCCAAGTGATCAGAGATTCTGACACCATTTCTGACTTCATTGGAATTCTACAGCTCATTAGAATTGTTGACGTATGTGTTACCGAATGACTGGGTGTGTGGTAGAATGCTCGCCGACTACGCATGTGGACGGGGGTTCGGTCCCCCAGCCGACGCACTCCTTTACCTCCCTAAGACGGTAATAAGACTGGTAAAGATGGAAGGTTGGGCATGAGGCTAGCAACCTCATCCAGTAAAAAGTAAACTTCACTGCTATTGAAGCTTCAAGCCTCTAGCTTGAAGGCGCCCTATGTTTCACTGGGAACGTAAAGGAATAAAAAAGGATGACTAGATGATTAGTAAGTGTACTGTAGTTGTCTAGGTTTTAGCTAATTAAGGGATTCAGCACATGAAAAGATAGAAAGCCCTGATTAACGACAAGACCTCTTTCACTGCATTGCTTCCCTTTATAAATAGTTGGTACGTGTATGTAAAATTAAGAGCTATGTGAAAAGCAAGATACTGAAATGATAACTAATATTTGCAGCTGGTATTCAGCACACTGTCTGAAATCCTGCTGGAAGTTTTATCCTGAATACTATTAGTCGGAAGAACATCTTCAGCTCATCAATAAAAAATATACATGACCTAGTACACCATGCAAATCTTTGGTGTCCTTCAAAGTAGATTAATTAATCCTACGACTTTGAACCTAAGTGATATGGGTTCGAAATCAGGACTTCTATAGGCTTTTAGATACAATCTGCTGCTAAATACTGTGTCAGCTGTCCAGATCGAAAAAGATCCTGAACCTAGTTCCACTGCCAGAAAACTAATCTCTGCCTCAGAATACTGTGTGCGGTAACCAAATCGAAAATATCAGAAAACAGATTGGCAATTCTTAAGTATTGCTTATTTCTTCACCGACGATGAACCTGGATCACAGGGCTACTACAGCGTAAAGTCTACGAATAAACGTCAGCATAAATTACAATAATAATTCTGATAGTTTTTCTTCAGTCTCCTGCTAAACAGCGTACGACTAGGCCATGGCCGCCATTGTTGCCTCCTGCAAAAACGGAGGTCCGTTTGAATAAACAAAGCATATGCTGGGCACTCAATGTTCACCAATACTGACATATTGTCATTTAAAATAAAAGTTTCCTATCGATCAGCTTATGACATTCAACATTGAGTCCAAGGACACTGTTCAAATAGGAACGCGATATGCATTTATCACTGACCAAAAATGTCGCAGATTTTGAAAGTGATTCATTTTTATCTATTCTGTTTTCTTATTTCTGTCAAAAAATCACAACTTAAAATACCACTTAATTATCTTCTGATATTTATTTTATTTTGTATTATTATTTTTATAGATTGTAAAAGCTATACAAGTGTTGCGTATACACTTATTGGAGCTGCATAAAGTCAATGAACTTTGTAAAGATTTCTGTTCCCGGTATATTTATAGTTTAAAATCGAAATTTCAATCAGATCCCCTAATCCATGGTAAGTATTAAATTTATGCTGGATTTATTCAAACTTAATGCTTTATACATATATATATATATTATTCCCTTGGGTTCTGAGTGGAACATAGGGCTTCAACAACACATCTCTACTTTGTTCTATTTTCTGTCATCCTCTTCAGCAAGGTCCACGATTGCCCATAATCTTTCATCTTCTCTTCCAACTCACACGATCTCCTCCATGTCACCCTAGTTTGACCCACTCATCGCTTCCCATTTGGATTCCAATCGACGGCCTGACACGTGATGTCATTCGATGGCCTCCTTAGCGTATGCCTAATCCATTTCCATTTTCTCCTACATATTTATTGAGCGATCAGCTCTTGGTTGGTTTGTTCCCATCCAGAGTTTCTTGTTGCTTATTCTTTCTGGTTGACCATTTGATCTTCAGTATGGAGCCAGTATAGGCAGCTGTTGATGAAAGTCAGCAACCTGTTGCAAATGATTTTCGTGACACACAGTGTAAGTTTCTGGTCCGTGTAGAAGCACTGACTGACTGACTTCACATAGTATTGAAAATCCGAATCTTGTTCTTCATGCTGTAGAGTGCAGAAGATTTCCAGACTGGTTTCAGGTTGATGAAGGTGTATCTTACCCTTCCTATTCTGTCTTGCTTTGACATCTTCATACGTTCTGCCTGTAGTTGAAACGATCCTTCCTGGCCAGATAATTGAAGGAGGTGACGTCTGTTAAATCTTTCCCTTTGATGGCGATTTGTGCTGGTTGTTGTTGCGGTTCGTTGGCTGTCTTCATCACCTTCGTTTCCGCCTTCTCTATGTTCACCTGCAATTCTGTCTTCGGTTCCTCTTCAGTCAGTTTGTTGGTTTTCGCATGTAAGTCTTCGAGTTTGTGCGACACTGGATATATGTCATCTGCGAAATCCAGATCTCATAAAGTCTTCCTATCGGTCAGTCCAACGCATTCCTGTCTTCTCACTCCAAACTCACAGTCTGACGCATAATCCAGTCCACTACAATTAGGTATACCATCGTTAATATAGGCAGCCAGTCTTGTCTTATTCCTATATTCACTCCGAACGACTAGCTGAGTTTCCCGTTGTGGATCACCTGACACGTGCCATATTTATATGTATACACTAAATTTTCAACAGGCGACAACTTCGGCACATCTTCATGTAGAATTTCTCAGGGTAGCAGATTTGGTCAGTTGTGTTATGTACCAGAAGGCTAGAAATTATGTGAATTGTATTTTTCAACATATATTTCCAACATCTCGCCTAAGTCACTTGTCCTTTTTAGGCAGAAATTAATTAGAATGGCTTTTTGTAAATCCTCAGTAAGTTAGAAAAGGTATAAAAATTACAGACTGGAGGCGATACACAAACTGATAAGTGAATGTTGATTTAAGTTTACCGATCACACATATACATTGTGATCGCTAAGCTAAGTGACACTATAGTGCACTGTAATTTGGTATAAAATTGTAGAAGTCAGTCAATAGAAGGCCCTTTCCAATCTGGCTTTCGTACTTGTTCACACTAGACAACAAACCGTAAATTGTAATCTTAGCCATAGAGATTAATGACACAAGTTTATAAAATTGCTTTCCAAAGCGTTTCAAATGGGCCTTGTTGATGACTACCAAAATAATGCATGGCTCCTCATCATTAGAACTCTGAATTACCACTCTCAGAACCTAACGTGTTAAGTGAAGTTTACATTGATGGCAATTCCTTTATACCAGCAAATGCATTCATCAAACTTTCAGTTTTGTGAAATGTCCATAATTTTACAAAGCGAATTCGATCGTATTCTAAAGATAAATAAATAAAGTGTACTTTATAGGTTTCCAGGCCATAGGTGTTACGAACTTCCTGGAATAATTTGAGCGCCAAGTCAGATTGATTCATTATAAATTATTTAAATTAATCCCAGCGTGTTATTTTTGATGATTAATAAAAATCCGAATAAATCTGCTGAAGAAGCTGTGGCTTACACAGCGAAACGTTCAGAAAAATCTTGTTTTGATTTTCTTAACACGCTGGGATTAATTTAAATAATTTATAATGAAAGTGTACTTTGTTTTTCATGAATACACAAAAATAGTAGCATAGGTGGTGGTGATATGAAATGTACTCCTCAAACATTTGCATATTTGATAGCTGATGGCATTCAGAAGGAAGCCTTGTTCCTAGGCTTCGTGCTTGGTTACACTCCTCAGCAAGGTGTATCATCAGTTTCGAAGGAATTGATGTCCTTTCTGAGATTAGAACCCGATTCACCCAGTACAACAGCCAGAGACGAAACCATCGAGCTATTCCAGCTCATAATTGGCTTCCTATAGGACTGTTGTGGATACGTTGGTTGACTACAGCACTGAGTGATGCTAGTTCAAATCCCACAATGAACATCAATGTCTTAGAGATATCATAAACGCCTTGTAGACGAGTGTTAACAAGGGTGAAACCCAAGTCTAAGGCTTCTTTCTGATGGCTTTCAACCATGCTACATCAATTTAAAGCACTTGGTTTGGCAACCACATTGCAAACCACCAAGGACTACACCCATGACACTGACTGCTCCCTATCTTCCTATCTTATTCAGTCTGTATGGAATTAAAGCCATTGTAACCAAGTTAATAAATAAATAAGTTTCTTAACATTAGTGTAACAACAGAACACAGTAGTATTTTATAGCAAAGTTGTTTTTCAAGTGTTGGTTTGTAAGGATTTGATTAGTTACAGGATTTCATCATGAGCTGACATTAGTTAGAGAGCCATTGGAAAACCTGGGAGTACTGGACGGCTGTCTCGTCCTAGTTTGGGACTATTAAGCAGTACGCACACACTACAGGGAGTTCGAAACCAGGACCTTCTGGTTACAAGGCCAGGGAGCTCGTAGACCATTCAGCAGCCACTGGGACCCGATGCAATAGCCAGCCCATGAATTCTAACTTCTGCCAATTCACGACATAGCGCGAGCCCTAGCCAATGTCTTCGGCAAGTATTTGTCCGCACATCCAACCTGCTGCACCCTAATGGACGAAACAGCTGTCCAGTACTCCCAGGTTTTCCAATGGCTCTCTAACTAATGTTAGCTGATGATGAAAGTTGTTTTAATTGGCCAACTGCTGTACAGGTATGACAAAATACGTGTACTCTTATATCAGAATCACCATTTGCACATGTTCTCCGTATTGTGTTTCTTTTTATCTTCCTTGCATGTTTCCTCTCTTGTTTCACAAGGATCTTTCAATTCTTCTCTTCACCATTTAATCCGTCACTTCATTATTTAATATTCCTGTAGAGGACATCTCACGCACACACAATATACTATTTATAAAATCTCTTCAGTAGAAAACTCCATACTGGTACTTTATTTTTCAAATGGTACCAGGATCTTGGCATTACCAAATCATTTAGGGAGAGATGTAGAGAAGGAGAGAGGGAGAGAGAGAGAAAGAGGAAAAGGTGACTAAGCTTGCAAATGAACTTAATGAAAATAAAGGACAATTCCATTTCACTTCAGGATTTTTCTGTTAAACAAAAATAAATAAATAAATATATATATACTTTTTTACAGACATGAATAGATTTCAATAATAATAGACACTAAGAGATATATGTGAAATTGAATTTAAACTAAGTTTTACATGCATAAACATCTACAGTAGAATAGAAGTCATTATCTTTTCAGTTTTAATCGCCGAAACACACATTCACTTTCTCATTGTCTGTTTCTTCTCTAATATCTAGCGTATACGCTTGTGTACTTGTATATGTGCTTGTGCGTGTGCGTGTGAGTTATGCTTCTATTCCATACTCACTTTTGTTCTATTGTATTCTTCAACTTCATGTTTTAAAGAAGTAGTAGTATTAGTAGTATTTATTTCCGCCATCACTTTCACATCATTAAAGTTTTTTTCCTTTTTTCCTTTCTAGAAGTTCTTTATATAAAAAGTTGTTCTTTAAAAAACAAGGGGTGGGGGTGGGGGTAGGAGATATTCCTACTTAGTGGAGGGTCAGAGGCGAAAAAGAACTAAGGAAACCATTGAATAGATGGATGGACGGACGGATGGACGGACGAATAAACTCACTGACTGACTGACTGACTGATTGCTTGACTTACATTTTGTTAATATAGATGAATTAAATAAGCTGGATTGGACTACTGGGCGGATAAAGTTTAAAACGGAAGCCGATTTCATAGAGAGGACAAGGACCTAACTATGTACAAAACTATTGCTAGTATTACTACTATTATTATTATTTTTATCATTATCAGTAAATAGATAAATACTAATATTAGTATCGTAAGAACTAGTAGCCTGTTTCCATGACATTTTCTTCTTTTTTTCCGGTTTTCTCCTGCAATCTGACAAAGGTATATATGGAGTTCTAAGTTTTAAAAACTAACTTATGATAATGATAGTTGTTGTAGTGGCTAATTCTTAAATAGTGAATCTGATTATGCATAGAATAGGCACGATCAATAAAAATTTAATCAATACGCGATGTTTATTTATTAACTTGATTCAACTACTTTGCATAGACAATTACTGTTATAAAGAAATACAAAATGTTTTTGAGTTGAGTTGAGTTGAATTTTTCAAAGTGATTCGAATGTCTAGCGTGGGAAAATGAGATTTTTTAAGGTTGTTTATTTTAAATTTGATCACGGATTGATATCAGTTAGGCTACAGGATGAAGGTGCTTGGAGCTCTTTCTAGTGAGAAATTGTGACCAGTAGGTTAACCCGGTCGGATGCGAAGACAAATACTTGCCGATGACATTAGCTGGGGGTCGTGATAAGATCACGAATTGGTAGAAGTTAGAATTCATGGGTTAGCCATTGAGTTGAGTCCCGGTGGCTGAATGATTATCCAGATCGCCTTGTAACTGGAAGGTCCTGAGTTCAAAACCTGGTGGGTACGTACTGGTGAAAAGTTCCAAACTAGGGCAAAGTGGCTTTGCAGCACTCCCTTGTTAACTCGAACTGATATCAATCCGTCGTCAAAACT